TTTGTCCACGACTACCTTATAATATATACCTTATGAATGAGTTTTCTAAAACAAAATGGTAGTCATTTTTCACGGAGTGAATAATAGCGGTGAATAATAATCATTATTCACGGGTAGCCATCTTGACCAGACTAATAATAATTATTTGAAACGTTAAAAGTTCAAAAAACGTCAATTTAATTCAATTTTTTCGTATGATTTAAGCATAAATTAATTAATTTTCGTAAAGAAAACGACGTTTTATAAAACTGACACTTAATTTTGACAAATTGTTGTGAAGTTGGTTACAGTTAGTAACATTGAATTTGTGTCACATTGACGTTTAACCTTTATTCAAAAATTTATTTAAAAAATAAATTTATGGAATCAATTTCAATAGTCGTGAACAAAGTATAGTATTCTACTCGCATATAATGAGCTATTATATGCTCATATAATAATATACTATTAATTAACACCTAATTATATTTTTTTTTTCATTTCAGAAATTATCAACGATTAATTCACCGTCTCAACAAAATTATGCGTATTTACCAAAGTTAACTATTGAATGTCAATGTATTGATGTTAAGGTGGAAGGTCCAATTTATACAAAAAAATTAGTACATACAGTGTGTCAACTTCCTGATCCACCGAGACATATGTTTGATGCTTGTTATCAAAATCTTTCGGTAAAAGTGTTAAATTTTTGTTCAAAATTAATACTAGGAAGCAATACAACTACGATTATAACTCCGTTTAACGCAACATTTAGAAATAAAAATATTATTAGTCCAGAGTACTGGGTTAACCCTGATACTCCTCACAACGAAATGAGAATTTATTCCGAAAGTATTGGGATTAATAGTACAAAACCGAGAGCGATTTTAATCGGGTTAATAATTGAAAAGATGACAAAGTTTAATTGTGAGGAAGCTATTTATTTTATTAGTAACACTTCTATTCTTCAAGATGCATCTAAATCATGTAAGAATTATTTTATATTAAAAATTATAACAGACATTTTTTCTGTTTTTTCAGATAAAACTTGTTTAGAATTTTCTATGGAAGAAATGAAACTTCATAAAGTTTCAACAAAAACCACACTATCAATTAACGTTTCTTTAGACTCAATAAAAGCATTTATTTTTGATCCACTCGATAATAGCTCGTTTATAAGTACCAGATCGCATCTGACTAATTCTCCCTCGTGTTCACGAAGAGGTAGTTTTACGCAAAGTCGCGAAATCCAACAAGTTCTTTTTATATCCGGTCCCGATTCCAGCAACGATTCAAACAACGATTCGACTCCATTATTTAAATGTTCCCTTCAAATCCCTTTAGATCCCGATCGCGAAACTCATCCGTCTATTATGATATTTAATTTACAAGAAATTAGGGTTTGTGTTGATCCCTTACTTTGCTCATGGTTTTTATATACACCCGTTGTTTTGGTTAATTTTAAAAGTGATTATTCGTCAGGTAATAAATAATACGAATACAACTTTTTAGCTAATGTTGTTGAAACGAATTTTTATAGATATTAGAAAAATTAAGAGTAGTTCCGAAATTATCTCAACAGTTACTGGTATAGAAACTCCTAGAAGGTTAGTAACAACACCTCACGAATCAGTTCATAGCAGTTCAGATAGAGATAGAGAAATTTTACAATTACCAAAAACGCCAAAATATTTTAAAGAAGAAGAACAACTAGCGGATGTAATAATATTATTTGGTTATAATTATTTTATATATTATAACATTAATTTTTAGCCTCAAGAAAGAATTTATTGCTTTTTAAGTAAATGGTTCCCCATTTGGCAAGCAATGATGCTTTTTGGTGATTTATCCCAATGCACAATTTATTTTCCAACTGAATCTTTATCAGCAATTGGATCTCAAGGCATTCAACAAGCTGTTGATGAAGCGATGCAACTCGAAAATCCACCCGATATGTTGGTTATTACTTTACCATGCGGAAATTTACGAAGTGCTGGTACAAAAGATAACATTTTGGAATATACTAGAAATTTGCCTATTAAATTACCAAATAGTTTGTGGAATCCAAGTAAGTTTTAATTCCATGGTTAATAATTCATTTTATATACATTTTTAAACTTAATCATTTAATTTGAAAATTGTTAAAAGTGAGATTAAAGAAAAAAATTTGTTGTAGATAAATCAAATTTCCCATGGAATATATCAATATCAGATATTAGTTGTTATTCTTGGCAAAAAGGAACTAAATTAGATCTTTTAAAACCTGTATCATTTAACGCCACAGTTGGAATGTGCTCAAAAAATAAACCAGATAACCTTAAAGACCAGCAAAAAGAAGACGTTTCAAGTACAGGAAGTGAAAATAATTCTTTAAGTGGATTAGGAGTTTGCATTCACATCGATATGAGCCCAACTAAAATTATTTTATCTGAAATACAAGTAAATACATTCAAAAAATAATCTAACTTAAAATCTCAAAAAATGTTATTTCTTTAGGTTTGTTTAATAGCAAGTATTCTTTATGGACTCATAGAAGTAATAAATAATTTAGCCCCAGATACGTCCGAAGATCAACCGCAACCACCGCGTATCATCCCAGTTATAAACGCTCAACCTTCATTTACAGCATCACCAACATTTGTAAAGGAAAGCAGTTTAGATTCGACAAGCGAACAAAGTCCACGTGTTACAATTAATACCGATAACATAAATACGGAACATATCAAATTAACCGCTTGGATTCAATGGACAATTACGAAATTTACAATCGAAATGTTGTCTTATAAATTAGAAGATATGTGTAAAGAAGATTTTAATTACACGAAACCGTTAACGCTTAAACTCGTAGTTGAAGCTGAAGATGTTGTGAGTTCATTGGATTTTCAAAGCATTTTTATGAAAATTAAAAGTAAAATTGGCGCGGCTAGTATTCAACATTATTTATTGGATCCATTTAAAAATCAATGGATACCGGGGAATTATTTAGGTTTTATCATGAAAACGAGGGAAGAAATTTTATCGCAAGATACTCGGGAAGATAATTGCTTTGCTAGTATTATTATTACAAGAGCTAGTTGTCAACACACCCATAACTTATGGGGAACAAAGAATACCATGGTTAAAGAGGACGAAACATCTCAACATCCAAATCGATTTATTTCCGAAGTTGTTGTTACACTCCAAGCTATTGATTTTTTGTTGTGTTTACCAACTTTACGAAGTTTTTCGATAGTTTTTGAGCCGCTGTTACAAATTCCATCTTCACCGTCAAAAGTTAAAGAAACTGAGATGACAGTTAATATCAGTAATCGAGTTTTACCCCTTATTTATCTCGATTGTAAAGGTTTCCGAGTAATTGTTCCTTTAGCTGAGTTGGAAAATGTTGATATTTCCCCGGATGTTTGTATTTTCCAAGTTGATGGTATTAATTTAATGCCGGATCCTGTTAATCCAATTTGTAGAACACCGATTCGGGCCGATATTTATCAACAAGCTGCTAGATCGAGGATATTAAATATTCCAGGTATTCAAAAACAATGCAACAATTCTACAGGGTGTATCTGAATGACTGCAACAAACTTCAAGGGGTGATTCTTTAGTGAATTTTAAGGGTACTTCGATATATTTTTTTTTCTCATAAACCATAGACACTAGGAAAATGAAATTTGGGGAATATGTTTAACTCATAATAGGGCACGTTTTGGCCCTATTTGTACTTTCAACCTACCCTTCTAAACTACTAAACGCAACCGCCCCCGTTCAATTTATGCCTACATTTTTTTTATGAAAATCATAAATACATTGGAAAAATTTTAGTTAGATAGATAAAACTATTCTAAAACTTTTTTGTCTCTCTGATGTTCTTCGAAAATTTAATAATTTCTGAGAAAAAAAATAATTAAGCAAACACTAACTGTTAAGCTGTAGGGTTGTCCTTGAAGTTCATTTGACC